GTCCGGGCGCAGCGAGGAGACGGAGGCGCCGGCGCCCTGGGCTGGGCTGCTGGTCCGCGTGCTCACTTTAGACGGGAACTCGGCCATTGCGGCTCCACTCGCCTCCCGAGGTCGCTCAGGCCGCCGTCGCCGCCCCTGTCGCGGTGGGTACCGGCTCCCGCGCCGCTCCTCCCGGGGGGCTCCCGCTCCCGCTCCCGCCGCGGCTCCCGGCGCTCGGCGCGGCGTCCAGGGAGGGAGCCTGGAGCTGCCAGGTGCGGCCGGAACTCCCGCCCCGCCCTCGCTGTGGGACCCGCCCTTTTAACCCTTCGCCCTCCGCCGGCCGGTCAAGCCTCGAAACACACGAAGTCGCGTCCACGTTACAGACCGGGAAACTGAGGCCGCGGTCAATGAGACGGCGGGCCGGGACCAGTCTAGGTAGCTGCGCGTTTCTGTCCCAACGAGAGCCTCCTGCTAGGAATTTACATCGCTGCTCCGCGCCCTCCTAGCCGGTGACTTTACCGGCTCTCTTCTGGTTGTCGCTAGGGCTCTGGGTGCCCACAGACGAGCCCCTGCACCTCTCTTTGCGCTCTCCTTATTAAAGCGAGATCAGCACCCCTGTTTAGCTACTCCTAAGGAGTCCTGGGAGACCAAGCACCCAGGAGGGGAGGATCTGGGCAAACTGTGGGTGCGTGTGACTCAACTGATGTGATTTGCAGGTCTAAACATACCGAGCAGTAACTTAGAAGATCGCTGAGCCTCCGTTTCCTTATCTGTCATATCGATAGGGGTGTGAATGGACCTGGCCTCACAGAAATACCGTGCAGAATAAACGAGGCTCCCGGCATGCAGTGAGCAGGGGAGCAGAGGTGATTTGGACTTATGGTTTCATTGCCCGACCTGTACCCCGAAACACACACACACCTTCAGAATACAAAGGCCTGCACATATCATTTCATTCACCAACCAATGTTTGCCGAGCGCCAGGTTTGTCAGGCCCTATCCCGGGCCCTGAGACTCACAGCTGGGAACGAGGCAGACAAGCCCTTCTTGGATCCCACTTTCTTGTGGGGTGACAAGTAGTAAACTGGGGAGAAAAAAATAACTGCAGATAGCGACAAATGCTGTGGCTAAAATAAACAGGGGGATGTGTCAGAGGCAATTTTCGATAGAGTCATCAAAGAAGACCTCTCAGAGAAGGTGACATTTTTGCAGAGACCTGACTCAGTAGTAGGGGCCGGCCTTGGGAAGAGGTGGAGGAAGAACTTGGTAAGTGCAGAGGCCATGAGGCCGGAAGAAGCTGGACAGTTGAAAGAACAGAAAGAAGACCCGCTATGGCTAGGGCAAAGTGAATGAGGGTGACACGCGGACAGGGACAGGTCGCGAAGGGCTATTTAGACGATTGTATTAATCTCCTGTGGCTGCTGGAACAGATTACCGTGAATTTGGCGGCTTAAAAGAATAGAAATGTATTTTCTCACAGTTCTAGAGGCCAGGAGTCTGAAGTCAGTTTCACTGAGCTAAAATCAACGTGGCCGCTCTCCATCTGGGGCCCTAGGAGATAATCTGTCCATGGCTCTTCCAGCTTCTGGGGGTGCCTGCTGGCATTCCCTGATTTATGACCTCATCACCTCAATCTCTGCTTCTGCGATCACACTGCCTCCTCTTCTGTGTGTATCAGATCTCTCCATGACTCCCTCTTGTCAAGATACTTGTGATTGGGTTAATCCCAATCCACAGAGGTAATCCAAGATAATCTCCCCATATCGCAAACACTAATTTAATCTGCAAAGACCCTTTTTGTTCGTAAAGTAAAATTTACAGTTTCCAGAGATAGGGTCTGATATTTTTGGGGGGTCATTCAGCCTGCTGTATAATGGAGGGGGTTAACATTTTGTTGTAAAGCCTGGAGGGTTTCAAGCAGGATGGCAGCAAGATCTGATTTGAAAACAATCACTGGCTGATGCTGATTTAATCCTTTACTCACTGAACTGGATGTTCAACCACCTCACCCCTACACACCTGAATCCACCCTCCGGTAGGTACTCAGGAAATAAGGAGTATTTCAGAGACCAGCCTCTCCCCTTTCCGTTTGAGCCCATGTGCAGAACGAAGCTCTTGGGTAAACCCTTAATTTTATTATGACACAGTAGACAATAAGGTGATTGTTTCTGAGGCAGATTCTAAAACAGTAGAGTGGTTTTGTTTGGGTTTGGGTTTGGATTTTGTTTTTTGGTTAATCCCACTTTCATTCCTTTCAAATGGCAGCAAGCAAGACTCAATCACTGTATTGTTTTTGACTTTGATGTTTTCTTGGAAACCAACATCGCTCGCCCCCTAGTCATAAACAGCGGGAAGGGACCTGTCCTCAGGCTGAGACCAGCCACCCACACAGAGTCTCCACTGGCGCCAGGGGAGCCCTGGGTTCTCGGGGTGGGGTGGAGGAACAGAGAACCAGCATGAGGAGGCGAAGGCATGCACGGGTGATGGCTGACCCCTTCCCCTCCTCCTGGGATCTGAGCAGGCCATTGCAAAGCAGATCACCTGCAGCCCGTATCTTGCCCCAGTTCTCACTTCTACAAAGGCTCCCTACTCTGGACAAGCCCCTACTGTGTGCTGGGCCCACCCTCCTTGGGGTGAGCATGGCATGCTGGAAGGCAGTGGGGATGTAGGCGTACCTTGGAGGGCCAGAGGTGTGAGCCATCCAAATGGACCCTACCTAACAGAAATTCTGTTTTGGAAATTTCCCCATGACAGCACATTAAGACTGGCCTCATTCTTTTTACATGTCAGGTAGTATTTAATAAAATAGCTATTACATAATTTTTTATTCCTCCCACCATTGGTGGACACTTAAGCGGTTTCCAGTAGTTCCTTATAATCTTATATAAGCATTCTTATTTGCACATCTTTGCACACACATGTGAGACTACAGATCCAGTCTTGCAAGAAGAACCACTAAATTAAAGGGTATTCGCACATTTGTTCTTTTATACATACTGCCAAATTGCTCCAAAAGACTGTGTTAGTTGACATCCCCACTCAATGTCAGTGAGCTTAGCTATTTACCTGCCCTACCGGGTATGTGTGATGATCATTTTTAAAAAGTCTCATTGTTTCCATTTGCATTTTCTAATACTTCACTGGTAGGGCCAAGTTCCTCCTTAAGCTTATTGGCCGTTCATATTTCTTTTTCTGCGAGTTTAAGATTTGAATCATTTGCCCTTGTGTAGTAAAGAATTTAAATTTGCCCAAAGAGAGGTCTGGCTTTTGCCCTCAGCTTCTAGGAGGTACTGTCTAAACCCATGGAATGTCAGGCCTGATAGAAATGTCTTTGTTTAGGGTGGAGCGCGGCCGGTACCAGATAGTCTAGCTGTGATTTAGGGTGGAGTCTGGCTACACCAGATAGACTAACTGTGCGGTTTAGGGTGAGGGAATATGGTATCAGCTGGAAACTGTTTGGACTGTCAGCTGTTTGGACTGTCAGCCATGGCTCCATGATGGAGCCCCAATAAAGACGTTGGACACCAAGGTGGTGAACTTACCTAGCTGGCAATACTCCATGTGTATTGTCACATATCAGCGCTGGGGAACTAATGCATGGAGTTCATGATTCCCTTGGGAGAGGACAGCAGAAGTTCCACGTTTGGAACTTAAAACTCACACTTAAAAAAATTATACAAGTCCATGGTTTTTAGTATATTCACGGTAGTGACCCATCGCCACTAATTCCAGAACATTTCCATCACCCATACGTGCGCTTCCCTTGGCTGATTTCAATCTGTGTCCTTTAGTTGTAAGAAATTGGAACTGTGGGTATCCAGTTTGCAGGACATTCCATGAGTCCTTCCAGCTGCTGAATTATTGAACCTGAAGGTGGTCTGGGGACCGCCCTGAACTCTGCAGCTGTGTCAGAAGTGACAGGGTCTTGTGGTTTACGGTGTTCCCTCTGACATCGCAGCCCTGTCTGGGTTTTTTTTTTTTTAATTTCATGAGCTCCTTTTATGTTTTGGATACTCATCTTTTGCCAATTTTATATGTTGCTATTGTTTTCCTTTGCCTCTCCCACTCTGTGGCATTTTGAGAAATGTGTACAGTCATATCACCACCACCAAAGTTAAAATATGGAACATTTTGGACGACCCCAAATGTTCCACGGTGACCTCCACCCAGGCCCCAAGCAACCATCACTCCGTTTTCTGTCATTGTTGTTTTGCCTTTTCTAGAATGGAATATAAACGGGTCTTACGTTACATTGTTGTGCCATCCTAACCCCTGAACCTGTAGATGTTACCTTTCACAGCTTTTACAGCTTTTTTTTTTACACCTATAGCATCTGGTCTTCCTAGGTGGTCTCCCATCCAAGTACTAACCAGGCCTGACCCTGCTTCGCTTCCAAGATCAGAAGGGATTCGGCTCATTCAGGATAGCACTCCTTTTACAGCAAAAGAGATTTCACAGAGGCGGCTTGTTCAGGACAGCACTCCTTTTACAGCAAAAGAGATTTCACAGAGGTGATTAAGGGTTTTGAGATCAGGAGATTATCCTGGATTATCTGGGTGGGCCCTCAATGTAAGGACAAATGTTCTTATAAGAAGGAATCCGAGGGAGATTTGATAACAGTGGAGGAGAAAGTAGTGTGAGCACAGAAATAGAGACTGCTCCGATTCAGCCAGAAGCCAAGGAATGCCAGCAGCCTTCAGAAGAAAAGGCAAGGAACGAAGTCTCCCTGGAGCCTCCAGAAGCAACCAACCCTGCTGACACTTTGATTTAGCCCCTTAAGGCTCACTTGGGACTCCAAAACTATAATAGAACAAATTTGTGTTGCTTTAAGCCACTAAGTGAGTGATAATTTGTTACAGCAGCAAGAGGAAACTAATACAGTAGTCGTTTGGAAAAGTTCTTTATTGTAACATAAAGCTTTCGAAATTCATCTATGTTGTCGAGCATGCCAGTAGATTGTTTGTTTTTAATTGCTGAATGTATTCCATTATAATGATACTGTACAATTTCTTGATCTGTTTACTAGTTAATGAACATTTAGGTTCTTTTCAGTTTGGGCCCCTAGGAATAAAACTGCTATGAACATTGATATGCAGGGGTTTTTTTGTGCGTGTGTGTGAACAAATGTTTTCATTTCTCTTGGCTAAGTACTTAGGAGTAGAATTGCTGGATCATATGGTAGGTATATCATTAATTTATAAGACATTGCGAAACTGTTTTCTCACGTGGCTGCTCATCACTGGCTTTAGAGATGACTAAACCAAGGCTAGAAAAAGGGC